CCGAATTAGTAATCACGCATATTTGTAAATTATATACGATGATTTGGAAATCAAAATGCGATACATTTATATAATATCCGTTTTAGTTTCCCAAATCTGTGAGTTAAGGCAGGGTAAAGGGAAAATCCGCACCTGATTATTGAGGTGGCGAGCCAATCGGGTTTCTGGTGAATAATAGTGGGTACTGAAAATAAATGAACAATTGAAATGGACCGACACAGATAAATATGAAAAGTTGGGGGTGGAAATTTTAATTATTAAAAATCCATTGATATTTTGAGTGGGTATATTCCTAGAGAGATCCTCGGAGGATCATTTTTAATATCTAGTCACAACTCGCACTAGGAGAAGCGAATGAAATAGAGAAAAGTAAAAGTTTAGATGTGTTGTAGTTTTGATCGTTATCTGTACAAGAGGGTCCTCTACTCCTTATAATGAAGGGCTATTCCACTTGTACCAGGGAGGTTTACCCCACCCCACCCAAGTGTAGTAAAAAATATCGGCTCGTGGCCCCCACCTCGGTAATATGAGTGGGGTGTAAAAGATTATGTATAAAATTATGTACATGTAGACTAACCCTATAATGAAACTAAATCATAACCAAATCGGTCGCGCCACTCGTACAAAGGGCCTTGACAAAGGGGGTTTATACAGTGACGTGGCACTTGTTTAAAAAAATAAAAAATCCCAAAAAATTGAAAATCGAACTCTTCTCTCTTTCTCTCGTGAACTCCAGTTTCTTCCACATTCTTTCACCCCCAAATCGATTCACTCTCTCTTCAAGCTCATCACCTCCCAACGCAAACGGGTTCGACGACAGCAAAATGAAAGCGCAGACACCTTTCGCACACCCGGCGTCATCCACGTCTCAAGGAATCATTCTTACAGTAGCAGTGTAATCGATTACTTTCAGCAAAACAAAAAGCTCATTTTATATAGAGTTCGTAAATTATTATTTTCAGAACTGAATTCAATGATGCTGCATCCACATAGCATTAAAAATAGTTGTTGGGTTTCGATCATTTGTGCAAAGCTTCTCCATTACATATCTCCACATTAAAAGATACAATGAATTTAATTTCACAACAAATAAAATGATACAAGTAATATAGTCATCCCAGAAATCTGCTCAAAACCAAAAACCCGTCAACTGTGAAACCACGTGCGGCAAAAGTCGAAGTGGAGGTGCAAGTTGGAATGCTTACGCAAGTTTTCTTCGACATTGCTAGATTTCCCCATTTTGTGTGAGTCAGAGCAAGTGGAGGTCTTCAAAAACCAAAAAAAATGTAAACTTAAAATGTAAACAGAAATATGCTAAAAACTAAAAACACTGCTCAAAACCAAAAAATTGTAAACTTACGCGAAGTGGAGGTCTTCTAAAACCAAATAAATGTAAACTTAACGACGAAGACGACCCGGAGCAAGTTTCCCCCTTTTCTGCGAAAGGGAGTTATCACACCAGGAGGGTCAATAATGAAGCTCCTTTTCATGGCATCAAAATTCTGGAATAAGTTTCCCAGGATGCAGCTTCATTTTGGAAGATTGGATAATTTGGGATGTATTCTCTCCCATGGTTTTGGCGCCATTTTGGCAGTGGTAGTGGGTTTTCTTTTTAGCAGTGGTAGCTTTTTTTGTCTTTAAATCACAGCCGTTCATGCACTTTTCGTCTCAGCCGTCCACGTCATTTTGTCATTTGACTTTGTCAAGCTCCTTTGTATAAGGAGCATTATTCTAACCCAATAAATAGTTTTGGTTCAAGATTGATCAATTGATTTTGATTCTTTTATGACCCTTAATTAATAATGTTAACGAGACGAGTTGAGCTGGTTCACGAGTCGAAATTCGAAACTCGGACTTGGCATAAATAAAAATTGTTCGAACTTTTTTTCGTTTGAGTCGAATCGGCTCGTATTTTTTATTATTGTTATATATTTTTTTACAAAAGTAGCTACTCAGTTGCCATTGCAAGCAGTTGCGCAGCTGCTTGCTGCCAAGTATTGCATGCAGCTATTGTAGCTGCCAAAGCTTTTTTTATTTTTTATAAATTTGCTCACGGGCAAGCTCATACTTGAGCCGACACTTGAAAATGGGGCTCAGCCCAAGCCTTGACTCGATTTTACCGAGCTGCGAGTCAGGCTGAGCCATAGGTCACCTGAATCTGTGAGTCAAATTAGCACCCCCTACACATAATGGAAATGGATAAAAGATTCATGTCCACTAAAATTTACTTACATTATAGGGAATGAAACGTCCTCCATGTTACAAAGTTAAAGTTAGGAGTGGACAAAAAAATAAAACCCAACGAAATTGAATTCGAACCAACATGTTCAAATCGATTCTTAAATTTTAAACGGTTGTACATGACAACACCTGACAACATCAAAGTTAATTGTATTTAAAGTACCTTTTACTCAATAGTAATAATTTCACATAATGTTCTTTTATTGGACCTTATTTAGTGCATGTACGCATTACATTGCACCCCGTGTGAGGGGGTCACTTTGATTTTGTTGAGCTCTCCAAATTAGAGAAATGATCACCATATGACACACTCAACGAATGCCTCCCCTCTCAACATCCTTCAAAATTCGATTTTGGAACATTCCATATCCACCATTGGCAGAGATAGGGGTGGGCTGTTGCCTACCCTTGCCCAAGCCCATCTTCTGTTAAAAAAAATGAATTGGTTAAAATCCATTTTTTTCCACTGTCCCACCCAATAGCCCCGTACCCTTCATTCCTAGCTCCGCCCCTTTCCACCACACATTCTTTGGTATACACATTTCACATATATTGTTAATTCGACAAATTTTTCAATGAACTATTGTAACACCCCGAAAATTTAGAATAAAATTATTTGTTTTATAAATTTCATTTTATGATTTTTGAAAGTTGAGAGACTAAAATTCAGT